AAGGGGACTTTAGGTTTGCACTCTGTCCGTCTGTCTGTCTGTCTGTCCATCCGTCAGTCCGGCAAATCAGTTTTCCACACTTTTTTTCTTCATGCTTGAAGATATTGATTTGATATTTGGTGCATTGTTTTATAATGACAAGTTACAGATCAAGTTCGAATTTTATTTCGGTCTGATGATTTTGTGCAGAGTTATGGTCCTTTGACTTAGAAAATTTACTAAAATAATCAGTTTTCCGCACTTTTTTTTTGTCATTCTTCAAGATATTGATTTGATAATTGATATATAGTTTTATCATGACAAGTTACAGTTCAAGTTTGAATTTTGTTCCGGTCTGATGATTTTGTGCAGAGTTATGGTCCTTGAACTTAGAAAATTTACTAAAATAATCAGTTTTCCACACTTTTTTTCGTCATTCTTGAAGATATTGATTTGAAAATTGGTATATAGTTTTATCATGACAAGTTACAGATCAAGTTTGAATTTTGTTCCGGTCTGATGATTTTGTGCAGAGTTATGGTCCTTTGACTTAGAAAATTTACTAAAATAATCAGTTTTCCGCACTTTTCTTTGTCATTCTTAAAGACATTGATTTGATAATTGATATATAGTTTTATCATGACAAGTTACAGTTCAAGTTTGAATTTTGTTCCGGTCTGATGATTTTGTGCAGAGTTATGGTCCTTGAACTTAGAAAATTTACTAAAATAATCAGTTTTCCACACTTTTTTTCGTCATTCTTGAAGATATTGATTTAAAAATTGGTATATAGTTTTATCATGACAAGGTACAGATCAAGTTTGAATTTTGTTCCGGTCTGATGATTTTGTGCAGAGTTATGGTCCTTGAACTTAGAAAATTTACTAAAATAATCAGTTTTCCGCACTTTTTTTTTTTGTCATTCTTAAAGATATTGATTTGATAATTGATATATAGTTTTATCATGACAAGTTACAGATCAAGTTTGAATTTTGTTCCGGTCTGATGATTTTGTGCAGAGTTATGGTCCTTTGACTTAGAAAATTTACTAAAATAATCAGTTTTCCGCACTTTTCTTTGTCATTCTTAAAGACATTGATTTGATAATTGATATATAGTTTTATCATGACAAGTTACAGTTCAAGTTTGAATTTTGTTCCGGTCTGATGATTTTGTGCAGAGTTATGGTCCTTGAACTTAGAAAATTTACTAAAATAATCAGTTTTCCACACTTTTTTTCGTCATTCTTGAAGATATTGATTTAAAAATTGGTATATAGTTTTATCATGACAAGGTACAGATCAAGTTTGAATTTTGTTCCGGTCTGATGATTTTGTGCAGAGTTATGGTCCTTGAACTTAGAAAATTTACTAAAATAATCAGTTTTCCACACTTTTTTTCGTCATTCTTGAAGATATTGATTTGAAAATTGGTATATAGTTTTATCATGACAAGTTACAGATCAAGTTTGAATTTTGTTGTGGTTTGATGATTTTGTGCAGAGTTATGGTCCTTGGACTTAGAAAATTCACTTAAATAATCAGTTTTCAACACATTTTTTCGTCATGCTTGAAGATATTGACTTGATATTTGTTATATAGTTTACACCATGACAAGTTAGAATTTTGTTCCAATACAATGAATTTTTAACCGGTAGGGGACTATGTATTGCCATGCAATACTCACAGAATGCTTGTTATTGTATACCTTTGTCCATCCGTTTGCTATCCATCCGTTTGTTATCTATCCGTTTGCTATCCATCCGTTTGCTATCCATCCGTTTGCTATCCATCATTAACTGAAGTATACTTGAACGAAATTATGTACACAATGTTGGTTTCACGACGACTACCTACCTTTTGGTGTTGTTGATGTTTTAGATTAGTTGTTGCAGAAATATGGAACATTATTCGTCAAAAATCAGACATGCAATTTATCAAATGTCTCACGTATGGTTTCCTGAATTCTTTTATGACATTAAACCTCAAACAGCATAAAGCTTCCTCTACCTTTCAAGTTATTCGTCCAATTGTTGTTGAACTACAATCATTAATAACTAAACAACTTTTAATAGGCCATGACTGTGATAAATCACATTTGCACGTGGGCTATCAACGGAAATTTGATGTAAAAAAAAACTAAGTAAAATCCTATATTATTTAGACGATTGTCTGATTTGCTTTTTAGAGATTAAGCGACTTCAAATGGTCAACAAAAAGGAAGATTTGCCATATCTCTCACGATAACTTAAAATAAAAATAAGGAAATGTGACATGATTGCCAATATGACAACTATCCACAAGAGACTAAAAGATGTGGATGTATGCTCTCACGAAGCCTAATAAAAAATTTACACTGTTATAAAAACATGTTTTCAATACATACATTGTGTTGTCTCCTAGGTTTGAAGACGATGTTATCCTGGTTTTATTCCGATAAAAGAAAAAACTATCATATAATTGTATAAATGAAAATATATTTTATTTTCTATTTGTTTTTTTAGAAGTTTTCTCTGGTTTTTTTAATTCTGATGTCTGAAAAAATTAACATAAAATAATTTTGAGTTCATCAGTTCGGTAGATAATTAGTTTGGTATAAATAACTACAGAGCAAACAAATAGATATGTTATAAAAAATATATTCATTAAAGAAGAGGCGAAAGATACCGAAGTGATAATCAAACTCATAAGACGAAAACGAACTGACAACGCCATTACAAAAAACGAAAAAACGACCAACAAAACAAACAACAGTATACAAAACATATACAACATAGAAAACTAAACTACACGAATCTCATAAAAAACCGGGGATAGTATTTCTGTGCTCCGGAAAGGTAACAGATTCTTCTCCACATGTGGCACCTGTCGTGTTGCTCATGTAAGTACAAATCCGGTGATAAGTCTAATTCGGTAGGTCACATTCGAGGAAAAGAGGACGGGACTGTGTTCACTATAGTAGGAAAATATCTGTCGTCATCTGTAAAATAGATGTTCCAAAACTGTAAACTAAGTCGTGATGGCATCCATAAAATTTTCAAAGCGATGATTTCAACTTCACCACTTAGAACTCTTGGTTTAAAAGCTTCCTATTAAGCCTCAACTCTCTATCAAGGAAATCATGATAGGAAATGCAAGCTCTTGAGTATCGTATCAAATGAGAGATATATACTTTATATGCAGGCGCTGCTGGAATTTTGCTATATATAAATGGAAAGTTCACAATATCTGAAGCTGAAATCATCTTTTTTGTCGTAAAGTTTTGTTCTCAGCCAACTTTCATTGTCAATTTCTAGGTGCTAGTCAAGATATAAGACAGACTTAACTGTGTCTGTTGTATCCTTTATTTCAAGTTCGATGTGATATAATCTTTTAATACAGTCGCCAATCTTTATTTAGTGAGAAGACATCATCTTTATAGTAGAATGTGAAGTTAAAGGATAATGTTACTATAGCTTCTTTTCGTTCTTCCGAAGAAGCTCCTAATGAATAAGAATAAGAGGGGATGCATAGGCGGATCAATGCAATAGTAACCTAACAACAGAAATAAATCGGCATCTAGTTTGTCTTATTGGCATAGGTTTTACTTTAGATTACTAACGTGCTTGTACTGTAAAAAGTAAGGAATGTGGTATTGGCAATGGGACAACTGTCAAGTCAACACAAAGGACAAAGATTTAAACAATAACAGGTAACCGTACGGCCTTCAACATTCCATACTGTATAGTAAGCAAAATGTGAGACAATTGAAAAGAGAAAAACAACGGTCTACACCCATTCTCGCTCCCTTGTGAGTCCGTGTGATGATCATTCCCTCAGTTTTTGTTTGTTACCTTCATTTGTCTCTTCTTAATCGATATACGAGATTTCGAAGCTTTTCAACTTCGTAACTTTGTAATATTTTTGACATTTCAACTTTTTCGGTTCCTGTGCCACTTTCTGGCAGACAACTTATATATTGAAAATAAAATTAAAAGTTAAAGAAGACATTGACTAACTACAACAAATGATATTTTTTGTCACTTAATTCAGAAGTTTGCCCCCTGCACTTTTCAGTTCTTTTTAAATACGTTTTGAATAATATAAAAGAATTCACGGTTAATAAAAAGGCATATATCACTGTAATGGTTTAAATATGTATAATTTCTCACGTTTCGCTAGTATAGGGAGAAATTATTGTATGTACGGTACTAGCGTATAGTTTTATAAGTTTACGTCACTAGGTATAAGACACGTGACTAATTTTATAGCGGGAAATTTTTTCCCTGAGACTATCACTTTCTAGCCCGCCGCAGACAGGGCAACATTCAAGTTTCATTCATATTATGAATATATTATGATACATGTATTTATATGTTTTCAAAACAATACACGTCCGAGTATGTCTCGTGAGACGACATGTCGCATTGGGTCGGACCCAGGTTTCCAGTTTATCCCATTATTGGGTTTGTTTGGTTGTTCCTGGCCGGCGAGGTCGTTCATGATCGAGTTATTCATTTATTCAGTTATTCAGTTTACATTCATGTCAACCATATAATAGCTCTTGTTCGTATAAGGTTTACATTATTCTAGCTAAGTTGTACCTAATAGTATATAATAACATATCATGGTTTCGTTTTTTCGGAATAATTGTGGTTATTATTTTTTCATATGTTTATATATATATATTAAGATACATGTATGTAAATAATTAATAAATTCCGTTGTTCACTATGCTTGCTGGGCTATCGGCAACACTATATATTGTATTAATTCATGCCTTCATACTAGAATAATAGATATGAGTGTATAAGGTATACCAATATTTAACTAGTACAATGATAATTGATCCGTGCCAACAATATCGTTTACAGTGACAGAGAAATAAGAGAACTTATGTCGAAAAGACGAACTAAAGCGGTTAACGAGCCAGTTATTAACTAAATATCAAATAACCGTTTAACTTATATAAAACAAAAGTATTTCATTGTAACCAAAACACGTGAGCTATTGTTTTAAATAATCGTTCAATCATATCTGCTCGAGTCACCTGATACTTCCTTCATCAAACTTTCACACAAGTCTTACGGTTTGTATCATTTAGTTATCAATTTTATGTTATTTAATTACAATAGTTATGTCAGAGGCATCGCGTATTCGCAATTGCGCGATTGCAGAATATTTTTTGACAATTTGTTTCAAATATTTTTATACATGTGATTATCTTTATAGCATACTCCTTTGTTATTTTCATTATAATGTTGTTACTTTAAATTGCACACAGAATTTGATTATTTAAACATCTATGAACATGAATAAAACGGGATTTACTAGCGCTCACAATACTACTTTTCTTGGAATTAACATTTACAAGATGCATCGATCTGATTGATCAGCACTGATTTTCGAACTTGTCCGAGATATTTCTGTTTAAACACTTGATATAAATTTCATGAAAATCCATCTCGCTCACATTCATTATATATATCGTCCCGAGCATGCATGAATCAATCAGTCATTCATCATATTTTAAAGGGGCATAACTTCATTAAAAAAAGTTGATCGGCGCTGATTTTCGACTTTGTCAGAGATATTGCTGATATAAATCGTTGATATGATTTTCATTAAAATATTGCAGTAATTGTTATCATTAGAGCGCCTCCAAAACGGAACAGGTGGACTGCAGACATAACCTTTGATATAAATTTAATAGAAATATGACAAGAATTACACGTGTGACAGCGCTTGCAAAACCAGACGGAATGACACATGAATGTACGGACGGACGGTATTTCTATGACCGCTCACCGCGTTGCGGCGGGTTGGAGGGGTCTTTAAAAAATACACTTAAAGGTCAACATATTGTCCTTATTAACAGTAGACAGGAGTCTATACAATATAAGCTCTTTATCGCCCTGAGTTTGAATATTAATTGTTTAATTTATAGATTGCACCCCTCATTTTAAAAAAGTTCAGTCGTAGTCTGATGGACTAACAAAGGGTACGCAAAACATACAGTAAAAATAAGAAAAAGCCTTTAATTTGAAAAAATTGGAAAAAATGCCAACACAGGAACAAACAAATTTTGAATTTTGAAACTATTATGAAAAATATAAATACTAATAAGAAAAATGTTCGCAGTTGTTAACATCAAGCTTATATATTATTTAACATGCCACTCTAATATCGATTGCTGTTTTTCATGGAAGATTTCATATAACAATGTCATAAACAATACAGAAAGACACGATGCAAAAAAAAAAAAAAAACATTTAAGTCCTGTTTCAAAGTATGCAATGACCATTTATAATATTCTGAGGGGGGAGGGGAGTGGTCGCATGGGGTTTTTCCTAGGACCAATATTTTTCGACTTTAATCAAAACTTAACTATTTTCAATAAAATAAAAGAACAAGAATTTTGAAAACTCAATGTTGCGTTTATTTGTTTCCCTAATTTTTGACTTATCTAAATTTAAAAAAAAAAAAACGCCCCTTCACCCAAAAAATAATTATGAATGGTTTGTGCCCTCTTAATTAACGAATTGATATTCATCCATATAATACCACATATAATAATGCAACAGCAACAGTATTAGTGTGACCTTTATAGAATTTCGTTTTTCATTTTGGCCATGGTATATTGTCTTTGTTTCTTCGACTTATGATTTTTGATAATCTCTTTGGAATTTTCTGACTTTTTTTTTATTCCTTTAACTCAAACCACTTGCTTTATTTAATGGCAATTTAATCATTTAATATAAAACTGTTACGGTAACTGTAGACAAATGTCAATACCATAATAAAGCAAAAAACATTCAACACACATCGTTTATTCTATGAAATATTGAAAAATCTGGCTAGTCATCGTTAGAGACCCTCTAAAAGGCTAACTTATTTTTTTTTTCAGATGGGAAGTGCGTGTACAAAGCCAAATTCAAAATTCATAATCCCGTTGGAGAATGATGCCGACGAGGTAATACCATCTACTTGTAACACTTCTCAAGGAATGCTTGGCACTGGTCCTCTTCGCACATATATACATGTAGCTCACAACATTATGCAGAGCTGATGAAATAAGATTTTTGTGCGCCCTTTTTGCATAATTTTGTTTTGAGCAATTGAAAATTTAACAGGTATTTTAACGTATAGTATAAGAGATAAGGCTAAATTGTCATGTATTTGCAGGCGGTTATTTTTAGTTCTTGAATTTTTCAACAATTCACAGTATCACTCACTTTATACACAAATGGGTGCAGTCCTAACCTGTACAAAAGTTAACTTGGAGTAGACTTTTTGGCTGCTTTCCAAGTTAACTTAAGAAATGTTAAGCAGACAAGCAAGTTAACTTCATCGGTGGTAGACCAGACCTACATGTATCTACTTTTATGATCTGACAATATTATAGCTGAAAATGGAATGTTCTGACAATATAACCGTTGAAAATGCAATTTTGATAGATTTTCAGTAAATATTTAGTATTGATCTTTAAAAAGCAAAGGATAAAAGTATATTTCAAACAAAAACCAAAATTCTAATAGCATAAAGATACTTACAAATTGGTTTTCAAATACAGTTTTATTCATTTATTGTCTGTGTATTTTTCAATGAAAAGTTCTACAAAAACAAGTGTAATTTGCAACAGTCAATCAAATATGAACATCAAACTCAAAAAAACAAAAAAAAAGTTGTTGTAACAATATGATAGATTGTGGAAGACTGAATATTGGTCTATGTTGACTATATGTTAATTTGATGTTTTTTTCATCTCCCTCTCTTTTCTTGTTGCTGTCTCATTAACAGTTATTCCACATATTAAGTATAATATCTGTTTAAAGCACTCCTTTTTTCTGGAAGTGAAAACTCACATGAACGTCTGATGACAAGGTAACAATAACAGTTATATGACTTGCTGTAGAAAGGCTGTTATGTTTGATACAAAATTTTTACTGCCTTTATACTTCACCACTTTTTCAAACTGTCTGTAAAGAATTAAACAGTTGTAATAATCATATTAGCTTTTCAAACAATGGCAATGTTCAGGGATTTGAAATAACTAATCATTTCATATCTTAAACAAAAAAAATCGTTTTTAAAGAAACACGTACGAAAAAAAAATATAAAAATTTATTGATTGGAAGGGAATCTATGGGAAAGTCCTTTTTATTTATTCGTAGCTTTCTCTAAACTCGATGCGATTTCAAGCATTACACTATATAGCGTCGAAACCAATATGTTTACCTTTTGATATTGGTTGGTTTCTCATTACAGCCTACACCTTTATCTACAATTCCTGAAAACAACTTACAGAACTGCAACTATTAGTATATTAACTATCTTAAGCCGGTGCTAGGGACCGTCTTAAACATTGTGGTTACAGTGTTTTTTTTTTGCTCCGTGTTGAAGGCCTTTGATATGATGAATAGCAAAAAAAGCACTGTTCCTTTGCTTTTTGTGTGTTTTTTGCTGTGCATGTACTAATGTTGTGTCATGGATGGATACCCCATATCCTTTGTGTTTCTATTATCTTAAATTCTTTTAAGAACATGTTTCTATCTTATCATGTGAATCTTTTTATTATGATTACGTTGAAAATATCAAAGTCCTTAGTACCTGACTGTGTATAAAATATGACTCAGTGTTTTATATCTTGAATTGTAATTTTCTTTTCTTTGTTATCGTCTCTCCAATAGGAGCCTATAAATAAAATAATATTCACATGTAAGCCTTTTCTTCTTTTTTTAGACCTTAATATATCAAAATTACTTATCATAACAGGTTTATTTTTCTGTATGGCATTATCTCATATTTACAAAATCGCACCATGTTAACTGCCGATATTAACATTTATGATTTGTTGCAATAAATGAATATTTGATTAATTGGTGATTGCTTTACGGCACATCCGCACAAAAAGGCTATATCGCGGCGAAAATGAATATTTGATAACGCGTTATATTCCATGATGTTTGATCACTAGGAATAGAACATAAATATTAGTTGTTAGATAAATACAAGATGTTGTTAACAAAATTGAATTATTTGAAATAAAATACTATTTCATATACAATATCAATATAGACATCATTTGATGGTTTTTCAACCCCATGTGTGGTGTAGGGTGTCAGGAATCTACATCATCATTAGACTATCTTTCAGTGATTTAAAACAAATATAGACATCTGGGTATGCATTTTGTTCATTGTTGAAGGTCATACGGTGACCTATAGTTGCTAACTTCTACGTCATTTGGATTCTGGTGGAGAGTTGTCTCATTGGCATTCTATTTTTGATTTTTTTTGGCATCATTAGACCAATTTACTCTATTAACAAATAGAAAAAAAAAGATAAAACAGTTTTCTTTCTATTTAACTGTATTGATCTGTGCGTTTATGAGTGTGTGTGGGTGTATTTGTGTGTGTGCAAACGTAGGCGTTTGCGGTTATGTGAAAATTGCTAAAAAAGACATTTTGATTTCTAAGGTGAGAATTGTAGCCGTTGAAGATGGTTATCCTGATCCTAGACTTGTTTATAGTATGACAGACAGGAGAATAACAAGAGGAGCTACAATGTTTGCTGATTGGAATCCTAACGCAGGTAGTGAAAACGCCGACAAGCATCACGTGTTGCCAATGACTAAAGCGGAACTAGACAAACATGCTAGAAAGGTAATAATCATTTCTTTTTTTAACATGTTTTCACATTCGCTGCTTACACAATAAAAATACCTTGCCGCTTAAAATTTAATAGCATACACATTTATTGTAAAATAATGGTTAATCTTTATTTATCAAAGTAAACCAACAGAATTCGGCTATTTCGCGAAACATCAGATTTACTGTAATATTTTTGACCGGACACGACTGTGCATTCTACCCCAGTCTAAGTTGTTGATATATCGAAATTTCAGTTTTATGTCTCTTTTGTAGACTCCAAAATCAGCACTTGACAGCTTTGATGACTTAATTGCTTACTTAGAAAAGCCGTTACAGGGCAAAGTATCAAGGGATGAGGCGATGGTTAGAGCTCTTCTTGTTTGGTTAAGTAATCAGAAGATCGAGGGTTTTAAATCAAAGAAAGGTAGAACAGACACTCCTAGAGGATTCCTTAGTCTTCTTGGGCAAGACCGGACTACACATTCTACATTTTTTACAATACTTTGCAGGTAAGGGAGCTACCATTTGATTTTTATGGGGGGTAGGTGCTAGGATGAAAAATTTTGTCCTGCATTTTTTTTAGTTGTAATCTCTGTCCTGCCTTTTTATTTTTCACTCTATTCGGTCCTGCCTTTTTTTTACTAGTTTATCCTGACTTTTTGTACATAAATTGTCATCCTGCCTTTCTTTTTGCCGAGTTGCTCGTCCTGCCTTTCGTTTTTTTTTACTCAAAACTCCTGTCCTGCCTTTTTTCAAATTTCATCCTAGCCCCCATAAAAATCAAATGGTAGCTCCCTAAAATAGATTTCCTGATTGATACTTTAATTCAGATCAGAGTCAATAAAAAATAGGACTATATGAATTTGTTGCTTTTCTGAATTTACCTTCACCAGGAACACTGAAGTTTAAAAAGATAAAAGCCCGCCAGAGGGATTTATTATAAGTACTTGACCATAAAGAACCTAAAAGTAATCATGAACGAAAACCATCTAAGGTCAACTTTGCCATGTTGAGATGGGAACCTTCGTGGTCACAGGACACTTTTAGTGCCGGATTACAACAGATCACCCGTATTCTCAAAGCCCGTTTTAGCGAAAACTTACTAAATTGAAAAATACCAATTTGGTTTTGTTGAAGTGGAAATAAAAGTGTGCAAATAATCCAATAAAAAAAGGTGCAGAATATGCCGGATTCCGTTATAGGATAGACAAAGTATCAAATGCCAAGAAATATTCAAACAACATAAAAAGAACGAACATGCAGTTCTTACTATAAGTCTATAATCGATACTATAGAGGTTGATACATTAAGAGCCCGTTATATATGTACGATAGCTGGAATATATATTTATACTTGGGTTCAGAAAAGGATAGTTAAAATGAGATCTGGGAAGGGGGGTGCAACGTACTAGAATTCAAACTCTGATTACTGGATTCTAATAAATATGATATGTCAATATTGTGTTGTTTTGACATTAATAAATATCATTCTACAATTCATATTATACGTGAGTAGAAAATGGATTAATTTTCCGTCGCTAAAATGGACACTGATGATTTTTATTTTTTTCTAAATTTGGTTAAAAATGTTTTGCTAAAACAGGTTATACTTTTCCCACTAAAATGTCCTCCGCCGAATCTCACCCATTCAATTTTGGTCAATGCTAGTAGCTGAACTATTTATCCCTTGTATTTCCTGCTATAATAATTATGAATGTATAAAATAGGTCACCGTTTATTTGGCCATAAAGACACGTATAAAACTTTTAGACGGCCAAGAATAGATTTAAGTTTGGTTGAAGTGGAAACAGATATTGTATTTATTGAAACGACAATATCAACTTAACATCTAGCAATATCTTTATTAGAATCAAAGTTTTTGTTACTTCATAAGATTTCTTCCGTGTCATGATTGGGTTATTCGTCTCCGTCAATGTCTATGCTCTCAATTCAAGTCCGCTTTTGAATTGTATATGCTCGTTTTTTAGAATAAGGAGTTATGGTATGATTGCCAATGAGACAAATATCCCTTAGAGTCCAAATTACTCGGATTAAAGCAACTTTAACAAAGAACAAAACCCATACCGTATTGTCAGCTGCAAAAGGCCCCGACATGACAAAACGAGAAACGTTGCCAACGAATGAAGCAATAGCTTTTTTTTTTGACAAACAGAATAAACAAAGAACAAATATGACAGTCAGCAACCAACGACAACCTCTAAATTAAAGGCTCCTGGCTTTAGACAGGTACATACATTTTGTTCATAATGTGGCGGGGTTAATCATGTTTTGTGCGCTCAACCCTCCCCTAACCTTGGAAGACAGTGGTGTAACAAAACAACATAAAATCAGTTAGAAATTGCTCGACTCATAAGATTGGCTCGAATCACAAAGACAACTAATACGAAGACAAATAACAAAAAAATACCGAATTCAGAGTGCTTGCAGCTGCTAAAAGCTAGTTCAAACCCAATAACAACTAATAAATATCATGTTCTCCCAGACTAATGATCTTCCAGACTAACTGCCTAGTTCATATTTTTACTTGAAAACTATTTTAACTTTATGAAACTTTTTCGTTCAAAATTTAATCTTTAAATTTGTAATTTTCAAACAATATTTAAATGTTTCCAATACTTTGCTTTGTAGGAAAGCGTATATTAAGTGTGCACAAATACACGGTGTGTGTAAGGCGGGAGATTATCAACCGGGAGACAGGGACAACAGGCGAAATCAATGGAATGCAGTTTATCTATACGACTCATGGCATATGATACATCCATTTTGGGTTTGTCGGGCAGTGTTTGGAAAAGAAGATGGGGGTTGGATTAAATTGGAAAAAGGTGGAAAATCCGTCGGAAAACGACAGAAAGCAGATCCTGGGGTGGTGCAGAATGCCTTTCAAGAACATTATATCATGCCAGACCCTAACCATTTTCTTTATGAATGCCACCCGGATGATAAAAAGTGGCAGCTGGTGCTGAAGCCAATTACAAGAGAACAATTTTTTGACCAAGCTTATTTACTACCTCCGTTCTGGGAATTAGGTATGAAACTGTTAAGTGTAAATGCATGCGCCCTTAAAACCACAGGAAGTGCAACAACTATTACATTTCAAGCCCCAAAAGTCACAGCAAACGAATTGAGTATGGATTATGATTTCTTACTAAAAGAGGGAAGTTCAAGTGTGGATGAAGAAAACAAAATGCTGAAAGCAGAAAACATGCCACGGTTGGTTGCGAAAATAAGAAACGGTTCCGAATGGAATTTCCATATTCAATTTCCAGTAGAAGGAATTTATAAAATAGTTATTTATGGAGCTCCTGAAAATCAGCATGTGATGCGATTATGTGAATTTCAAATAACTTGCACCGAAAAATCAAAAGACTGTCGATTGACACCGTTTAATCCTGGCATTTTAGGATTTGGTCCAGGTCTGACATGTGAAAAAGCCGGACTGCTCCTTCCATCTCACCAAAATGGTCTTGTAACAACAGAAAAAAGCAAACCTATAAGAATGAGTTTTCTCCTAGATAGTGAGGTTTCTAAATCACTGAAAGTTAAAACGGAATTAGTTGATGCAGATTCAGAAGGATTGCTGTTACAACAAAGTGACGTTACAACTATAATTGAAAAAACAGAACTTAAAATAATCACAACAGTTGTAAGAGAAGGAGATTATGGACTGAAGATTTTTACAGGAAGTAGTACTAGTAGTATGAGTGTTGTTTGTAACTACTTCATAACTACATCTTATAAATTCACCTATGAGGTTAGTATATGACATTTGTATCGATTTTTCATCGTCATCGTCATCGTCATCATCATCATCATCATCATCATCATCATCATCATCATCGTCGTCGTCGTCGTCGTCATCGTCATCATCGTCATCATCATCATCGTCGTTGTCGTCGTCGTCGTCGTCTTCATCAACATCATCGTCATCATCATCATCATCATCATCATCGTCTTCGTCGTCATCATCGTTATCATCGTCGTCATCATCATCATCGTCTTCATCATCAACATCATCGTCATCCTCGTCCTCATCGTCATCATCATCGTCATCGTCATCCTCATCGTCATCGTCATCATTGTCCTCATCATCATCGTCATAAGCGTCATCGTTATTTCGTAATATTACAAATATACAAACTAAAAGGATCACCATCCTCACCATCACTAAAATGAAAGGTTCACAAATCTTTTAAAGCTGTTAAAATATGTGACAACATCAGGTGAAACTCTACAATAAAAACAAGTTATACAGCTGTTGGTGTAACTGGTGATTGTATGTAGCAAAAGTATTGAAATTTCTTTGATTTGCAGATAATAAACCAATAGTTTTGACTTCATTAAGTCAACTTTTGTATATTTTTTTGTCAACAAGGAACTTTTAACATTTTCTTTTATATTTTCATTGGCATGGAACTTTGAAGCCTTTACATGTTCCTTATATCTTGGTCGGAAAAGCAAATACAATATACAAACTACTATTCATTTCATATTATAGAAGACAAACAAGCGTCTGGCTAGACAAAATCTGTTGTCATGTATCGAAAATGGTAAATTCTCAGAAATAGAGAAAATAGAACAAGGAATTAGCAGGTGTATAAAGGAGAAAATCCCAGAAACAGACTCTGATATTGAAAACGCTCATAGGAAAGTCCAAGTTTTAAAGATTAAAAAAGGTAACTTCGATTCGAACTGCAAAAAATGCAAGACACTATTATATTTGATTTTTTTAGCTTAATATTGTTATTATATTTGTTCAAAAAGAAAAATCGGATGAGATATTTTTTTCAAGATAATGAAGTCTCCTGCTCTATATGATATAACTCAGAAGAGAACAGAGCATACAGAATTATATCATAGATTAACTGTTGTATTGTTAGCATTGCCCAATGAATGTCCACTCTACATAAATTTAAGAAATCAGCTCTTTGAAAACATTCAACACTTAGTTGCTTTTTCCATAGAACATATTTTATTTGGAACAGACGAAATTAGTGTTGAACAAAACACAATCCTTTTCAGAAATATACATAGTTATATACGCCATACAAACAGATTCTTTGATTAATATTGCTGTATCTTAAAGTGTACTCGAATCCAACTGTAACTGTTTAAACATAATATATTTATTGTATATACTTTTCATATTGTACTGAATTATATAATTGCTGTCATCTTGAAATTTTGTATATTGTACTTATTTGGAGAAGATTATTTTAAGTTGTTATAACTTGTATCCAATCCTATTGTATATCTAGACAATAAAATATGTTTAAACTAATTGCCCAATCCTATCTATGGAAGAAAATAATTTGAAAGAATGATATGGATAACTCGTTGTTTTCCGTATCAGTACCGATATCACCCCGATATTCCCTTCGACACCCGAAGCGTTAGTCTGAAATGTGGTAGAGATAATCAGTCCCAGCTTTTCCCGATTTGAACTTGGAACCAATCATGTACCTGGCCTAATATGGCATAATTATGTAACCTTACTATCATTTCACACTAGCAAAATTAGGTATACCAATCCTATTTAATATATGTAATAAAGTCCTATATTAAGTTGTGATATAATCAACCTGGCATACCTTCCTTTCGTCTAATTTATATTTTTTTGTTGGTGATTAATTTTTTAATGGTTATACCCAACCAAGCCCGTTTCAATTTATTGTTATTAGTTTTTAAAAGAAATACTCCGGTGTTCAATATGTATACATGCCTTGAATTCTGGAAATATCCATATGAACATAAAAACACAATCTGTATTAAGAACTAATCATTGCATGCGTGTAGCGCAGGATCAAAATTTTTTAAATGAAGAAATTGTGCACAAATTGTGGCTTAGCTCTCGCGCGTCTATTTAACAACTGTGCACATGTTTTTTCAAAATTATTTTTTGAAATCTCTAATTCTTTAATACCTGAGACTGTTAAAGTAGTCCCAGATCATACGAACTGAAATGCAAAACTATATTTAACTTTTTTAGTGTTCTCTTAAATAGTTTGTTTTGTTACGTAGTTGAAGCCGCGCCCACTATTTTGTTTATTTATATTCACGTAGCATTATGTAAAATGAAGCAACCGTAGTTATTGAAATATTTCATGATATCTTTAATGATATTGCAGATATCCATGATGCTTATATGAGAAGACATTTATTAACAACTGAGACGACTATTCTCAAGATACAACAGTCACAATATATCAGGATATTTACAGAAAGTGTTCAACATTTGGAAGAATATGCTATTCAACTAAGAAATCTGGAGGGATTTACACAAGAGTTACCGGATATCCTCGCTGCTGTTGGTGAATTTAATCATGCGCATGTTACAAATGAAATGGTGGTTAATACATTGGTTGCCTTATCGGTTTTGTTTGGGGACACACAAAAACCAATTGAGGTAAAACTTCATTTTGTTAAAACGTTTATTTTTCAAAGAAAACGTACAATTTTTTTAATCTTTCATCAAGTTTACAATAATTTACAATCAATTTTATATATCACACCACGAACACATTAAAGTCTTTATCATAGAACTGCCAACGAAAGATTTTCTATCTTGAAATATGCATTTTTATTCAAATATTAATGGTAACCATATTTTTTTTTATTCTATCTAACAGAAAATAGATGATATACCAGCCCTCGCACGTGATACAAAGCATAAAATTCAACTTAAAAAAGATACTGTTGCGTCATCGTTAACAATAGAAGATGCTAGGCATGCGCAAGTCGTCATTGAGAAGTACTCATACAAACAAACGAGGAATGTGAATGTCGCAGCTGCATCCATTCATAGATGGGTAAGTAAACAATAAAATGAAACAATTCAGAACTTGGGTCCACAATGCTCTTCAACTTCGTTTTTTTATTTGGCCTTTTTAACTTTTTTATTCGAGCGTCACTGATGAATCTTTTGTAGACGAATATATAAAATTATATATTTAAATATATATATGCACAACCATGTAAAATCTGCAAATTTGCGGAAGCAAATTTTGTTCTTCCCTCGCCGAGATTCAAACTTGGCCGAGTGGTCTAGAGCGCTGGACACTAGACTTGTTTATATATATATATACAAGTCTAAATTGAAAACAACGTTCAAACCTATGATCGTGTTGGATAAAAACCGCAATTTTTATACGTGTGCATGCAAAAACAAATTTCTTGGTAAAGGGGTCTAAATACAGCACAAACAACATTTTCCAAAAGACCAAATGAGTGAAAAAGTATATTTTAACAAAACGCATTTGACTAGCAGGTCGAACAACTGATGTTCTTAAACCCTGCTGACTGCCATTGGCGATTGCCAAATAAACGGTTCACCGATGTAATAAATGAATCTTAGTAATAAATTTAATACTAAACAGAAAACAATAAACTTGCGGAAAAGATGGTATACCGCAAACAAAAGGTGCAAAGGTTTTTGTACACCATATCCGGATTTCGACAATTAATGTCTCTTCAGTGATGTTAGGAATCGAAACGGTATTTGGAAGGCCATATAATTTAGGATAGACTCTTGAATTTTGAAAGAGTCAAAATAGGATGAACGGATCATATAAACCCGAAGGCAAATATAATACAAGCCCAAACGAAAAAATATAAACAAGTCTAAATTGAAAACAACGTTCAAACCTATGATTGCGTTGGATAAAAACCGCAATTTTTATACGTGTGCATGCAAAACAAATTTCTTGGTAGAGGGGTCTCAATACAGCACAAACAACATTTTCCAAAAGACCAAAATGAGTGAAAAAGTATATTTTAACAAAACGCATTTGACAACTGTTCTAAACATCAGCCCAACAATGTTAGATGTATAATGCAAATTGCACAAACCAATTACAATATAAAGCTTTCGCATATTTTTTGTTCTTCCCTCGCCGGGATTCGAACTCATGCTACAGAGATATCGTGACACCAAATCGCCTGCACTGTATCCGACGCGCTTGACCACACGACCACCTAGGCTTCACAATAATAAAGCTTTCGGTGGCCGGGTGTTACCTTTCCTCGTCAGTTTTAATCTAGCGTCGTAATACAGTACATGATATATAAGGCATGAAGATGGAATTGTTACAGATCAGCTGAAATATCTATTGTAAAGGATCCTACAAATTAATGCAAGATACAGTCACAGAAATAATTATATTTATAAGTACGTCTGAACCAGTGACAACTCTACAACAGATTTTTCAATCGGATCAACAGCAGTGATGGTGATACATGGCTGTGTACATTCTGTATATACAACTCGTCTAAACATCAGCCCAACAATGTTAGATCTGTAAATTTGCTTTCGCAAATTTTTTGTTCTTCCCTCGCCGGGATTCGAACTCATGCTACTGAGATATCGTAACACCAAATAGCCTGCACTGTATGCGACGCGCTAGACCACACGACCACCTTTTATATATATATATATAAGTCTTAATTGAAAACAACGTTCAAACCTATGATTGCGTTGGATAAAAACCGCAATTTTTATACGTGTGCATGCAAAACAAATTTCTTGTTAGAGGGGTCTAAATACAGCACAAACAACATTTTTCAAAAGACAAAAAAGTGAAAAAGTATATTTAACAAAACGCATTTGACTAACAGGTAGAACAACAAATTTTCTTAAACCCTGCTGACTGCCATTGGCGATTGCAAAATAAACGGATCACCGTTTATTTGGTCTCTTCAGTGATGTTAGGAATCGAAACGGTATTTGGAAGGCCATATAATTTACCTCAATTTAGGATAGACTCTTGAATTTTGAAGAGTCGAAATAGGACGAACGGATCATATAAACCCGAAGGCAAATATAATACAAGCCCAAACGAAAGTCACACCTTTAAAGTTGCTTGAGATCTGCTTGAGTAGTAATATTTTTCAAACGTTTATTGTTATTGCATATTTTTCAGGTTACTGATGTCACATCTACATTGATCAGTGGGAGATCGGAAGGAGATGTATAGTGGTTCCAAAATCAAAGAGACAATATTATGTTAATAAATAGAAGTTTACGCTACATTTGTTTCAGTAAAAACTTATGGCCAATTTTTCCCATTAATTGCTTCACTCATACTGGTGGAATAATGTAGCTTGTTAAATTAACATATTGAAGTCTACATACTAAACACTGACATCAAAATCTGATGTTTAATTGTTATAACAACAAAAGAAGTAGAATTTTAAAATTGTAACTTTTTTTCGCTTTTTCTGTTTTGTTTTGTTTGTTTGTTTGTTATTGTTAAAGGAGCACCGAGTTAACTCAAACTATTGAATATGATTCATAACATACTAAACTAATTACCAGAATTACAAAAGTTCCATAGAAAACAATTATCATAAGCAATGTTTGGTATGGATTTTGCAAACGAGAAAACTAACAGCCTAATTTATAACAATACAACTTACGATAAACAAGCATGAAGACATGAACCAACGACAACCACTAAATTACAGACTCCCTACTTCGTACAGAATCATAAAGAATGTGGCGGGGTTGTATTTGTGAGCGCTCACACCCTAACCTAGGACAGTGGTGTAACAGCACAACATAAGAAGAAACTGTAAAATTCACTTGCAAATGGCTTAACTCAATTGCTAAGTACGAAGGCAAAAAAATAAACATCTAACATAAAATCAATAGATACCAAGCACTCAAATACTCACAGTTAATGGAAGCTAATTTAAAGCCAACTGTATTGGCCGATGATATTGATGTTGTTAGATTATTCCAATGGGAAAAAAGGTTTACCGAAGGCATCTGTACTGGTTCTTTCTTGGACGAAGCGGTTTTTATACGATTTCTAAAATTTCTAAAACTTTTCACTTTTTTCTGTTTGAAATCATAAAATAACCTTTAAAGAAGAAAAATTGTACAATTTTTAGGTATTTGAAAGCATTTATAGGTCAATTTTGCTGTAAATAGCATACCAAACCTTGTTTTAGAAACTCTCAAGCAGGGTATAAATATCTAACAGTACTGGCATCATTAAATTTCATTCATGCCAAATTATTATATAAAATCCTGCTAAAAATGTTTATTTGACTTATTCGCATTAAAAAATATAAAGCGATACATTCTGAGGCTATCATATAAAGCGCAATATTTGGTTACAAGGGCGAATCTAATGGAGTACAAATTTAAGACAGAAACATGTCTTAGTGTCAAAATGTGTATATTTGGTTGCTAAAGACAGTAAACAATAAAATTAACATGTATTGCAATCCTAGCAATTTTTTTCCCTTCAGAACTACATTAAGAACCTAACAGACTAAAGATTTGTGGTAAAATTTATCTTAAAAAGTGCATTTCTGTGCTTTCTGATGTGCCATAAGGTAGCACTCCACAGTTAGAAAAAAACATTAAAATTGAACCACAAAATGTTTTATCATCTTCTTTTCCTGGCTTTCTAATACATTAACCTAACTGTTTGTGTTATACATGTGCATATGTATGTAATCAGTATCTTCCATAGATTTGATTTTTAAAAGTTAAAATGGACCATAAAATATTGCAAAAAGGGAGGTAAAAATGTCACATATTTCCCCAAAATTTGGTTCAAACTAGAATTGCAATGCCTTTCAGTGATACCTTTTCAGAAACTGTTGATATAAATCTACCAAATGATCAAATAAAAATGGGTGTCTTTCGCCTCATTTTTTCTTAAAATTTAATTGCAAAGTTCGTGCGACAAAAAGTTGGAAAAAAACATTACAATAATTGCCGGACCAATATTTGGTATGGATATGAAAATACGGACTGTCATACAGAAAACAGCCCATATAACATACATTACATAATCTTGATGTTCCTATAAACCCACTATGAAGGCTATTTTAATCTTCAGCTATCCAAAAATGAATTTTATTCTACACTAGCTATCATATTTGAAAAATCCACAGGGGCCAAAATGCGAAACTACACACCTAACTGTGGAGTGCTACCTTAGGGGCAAAAAAAGGGGAAAAACAAGGTTGTCCTGGTTAATGGACAAATACTTTAGTACAAAACATAATTTAAAGCAGTGTAAGGGAGATAAATCAAATACATCATTGAAATTATCTCCCTTACACTGCTTTTAAATTATGTATAAAGTAATGGTTAATGAACAATTAAGATAATTTAAAACAGTGTAAGGGAGGTAATCCAAATACAACGTTTTTAAATTATGTTTAAAGAAATGCATATTTATAAAGGAAGACCAGTAAAAATATATGCAAATGTTGCATCTTTTTTTTTACAACAAAATCCATATGAAAGATTTGACACTATATTTTAAATTCTATTATAAAATAGATTAAGTTAGCGCTATGGTAAATTTAAATGGGTAATTATGGTTGCAAACTCCATTGGAAATTTGAATTGAGATATTATGACCATATCTTGGAAAGAATTTTTTGGGGGAAAAAAGGGGGGGGGGTTTAAAGAAATTGTGGTGGTCAATTTTTTCTCATTTCAGATTTCAGAAATTAAAAAGAATTATTCTTCAAATATTATTTTTTTTCAAATTTCAAATATTGAAAAATTTCAAGAAGTAATCTTTAATTGCACAGTATGGCGCATTAGATTTGTAAAATCTTTGACCACATTTATTTATTTGTTATGCCGAATCTAACCGTGTATTTAGATTTTTAATTTTGGGTCCAGTTTTCAAATTGGTCTACATTAAGGTCAAAAGGGTCCAAAATTAAACTTTGTTTGATTTTAACAAAAATTGAATATATGGGGTTCTTTGATATGCTGAATCTAAACATGTATTTAGATTTTTGATTTTTGGCCCAGTTTTCAAGTTGGTCGAAATTAGGGTCCAAAATTAAACTTTGTTTGATTTCAACAAAAATTGAATATATGGGGTTCTTTGATAAGCTGAATCTAACCATTATTTAGATTTTTGATTTTTGGGCTCCGTTATCAACTTTGTCCACATTGAGGTCAAAAGGGTCCAAAATTAAACTTAGTTTGATTTTAACAAAAATTGAATTCTTGGGGTTCTTTGATATGCTGAATCTAAACATGTGTTTAGAATTTTGATAATGGGCCCAGTTTTCAAGTTGGTCCAAGTTGGGGTCCAAAATTAAACTTTGTTTGATTTAAAAAAAAATTGAATATATGGGGTTCTTTGATATGCTGAATCTAAACATGTATTTAGATTTTAGATTTTTGGCCCAGTTTTCAAGTTGGTCCAAATTTGGGTCCAGAATTAAACTTTGTTTGATTTCAGCAAAAATTGAATATATGGGGTTCTTTGATATGCTGAATCTTACCATGTATTTAGATTTTTTATTTGTGGGTCCGCTATCAAATTGGTTCATATTGAGGTCAAAAGGGTCCAAAATTAAACTTTGTTTGATTTCATCAAAAATTGAATATATGGGGTTCTTTGATATGACAAATCTAACCGTGTTTTTAGATTTTTAATTTTGGGTCCCATTTTTAAATTGGTCTACATTAAGGTCCAAAGGGTCCAAAATTAAACTAAGTTTGATTATAACAAAAATTGAAATCTTGGGGTACTTTGATATGCTGAATCTAAACATGTGTTTAGATTTTTGATTATGGGACCATTTTTCAAGTTTGTCCAAGTTGGGGTCCAAAATTAAACTTTGTTTGATTTCAACAAAAATTGAATATATGGGGTTCTTTGATATGCTGAATCTAACCATGTATTTTGATTTTGGACATTGGACCATAATAGGTAAATTAAAAAAATTGAAGTTCTTAGACCACATTCTTTCTGTGTCAGAAACCTATGCTGTGTCAAATATTTAATCACAATCCAAATTCAGAGCTGTATCAAGCTTGAATGTTGTGTCCATACTTGCCCCAACTGTTCAGGGTTCGACCTCTGCGGTCGTATCAAGCTGCGCCCAGCGAAGCATTTTATTACCTCTGGTACGGTTATCGTTTTGGGTCAGATAATGTTAACGATCATGTTGGATCTTGAACAGCATGCATAATCTGTTTGTTTTCTTTCGTTCTTCAAGGCTTTCCCATTTTAATGTTTTGACCATATTTGTGACACAGCCATGTGTATGTTCAGTGTTGTTGTTATGCACAAATCTTACTGCTCATTTCTGTACCTGCTCTATCGCATTGGTCTTATTTTGGTTTGTTGGATTTCTTTGCATTGTCTTTATAATCAGAACTGACTTCTTTCGTATATTTCTTATTTGCTGACCTAATTTCCCATTGTACTTATTGTTATTGTCTCTTATACCTATCTATAAATGTTTTCTATTTAGTTTTTCTGGCCTTCTTGTGTGATCTTTGTTTCTGGTTTATTTTTAGTCAGATAGTTGTATTAATCCATGGATGGATATGTCTTCCTTGGGTCATTTTATGGTACTCTCTTCTCTATGGTGGTTAGTTATGCCATATTGAATGACTGCCACAAAGATTCAACAATTCTGTCTCTGATGTTTTTGAATGTTGTAATAAAAGTTTGAAGATTTTCCTTTATTTTGTGTGTTTCGAATTTTCCATATGTATATTTTCCTTCTGACTGGTTTTGGTTTTAGTGGTTTACATCCCATATCTTGTAGGACATTAATCATTGTCGCTGTTTCCTTGCATCTTCATTTAAATGATGGGTGAGAAATTAAGAATAAAAAAGAAGATGTGATATGATTGCCAATGAGACAACTCTCCACAAGAGACCTAATGACACAGAAATTAACAGCCTTCTACAATGAGCAAAGCCCATACCGCATAATCAGCTATAAAAGGCCCCGAAATCACAAATGTAAAATAATTCAAACGAGAAAACTAACGGCCTAATTAATGAACCAAAAAATGAACGAAAAACAAATATGTAACACAGCAACAAACGACAACCACTGAATTACAGGCTCCTGACGGGACAGACACATACATACAGAATGTGGCGGGGTTAAACATGTTAGCTTATTCAAGGGATCAATGCGTTTACATGGGTCGTATCCTTTATGGGGTCTATAAACAACATTGCTGTAAAAATAAGGAAGGGATATCCTGTTTTAACAAGAATTCCTCAAGAACACCCAAGATTCCTAACCAATTTTTTGTATACTAGTATATAAAAAGTAATAAAAACGGTTAACTAAATTAATTAAAACTTCTAATTTGATTGATTTTTTTGAAAGGGAAGCTACACTGTAATAGTAATGACAATATTTGAAGAAGAACACCAGTCCTGTAGGCTGAGTCCTGGCTTTA